ATATACATATGTAAAGTATGAAAAGATGTTTCCAGTATATTTAAACATTAACGATACTGCTAGTGTCTCCTAAAACATAGTCGTACCAAACTCCAATGCAATCATTGTTTTTTGAAAAAGATTTGTCAACAAAAAAATATTATTTCCTGTTTATTTGATTCTTTTTTAATTTGGTCTTGGTAACAATTACTACAACAGCACAAATAAACAAATATTTTTAGTTTGAAAAAGGCATCCAAAGCAGTAGATATTATTTTATTGCGGTTACTAATTGTTTGCAACTGGCAATATGTACTTAAGATAACACTCTAGATCTAGGTTATTTAATAATTAAGTCCTAGTTATAAGATGTTAGAGCATTGGATAAGATCATTGACACTTATTTTCGCATTTTATATAAGCCTGTAAACTAGCACCTACATTAGAAAAAGAGAAGACTGTAAATATTAGTTTAAGTAAATAATCTTTTAGATATATTGTAAATGTTTATGTTATTTAAGATACTAAAATTATATTGTCGTAATTTATCAGTGTGATATACTTATAATAAATGGGACGTTTTTATGATAACGACGTATATGTAATTTAATAACCACTAACGTCGCTAATATTCTGTTCTGGAGGCGCCAGTAGTTATTAATTATTCTGTTATATTTAACAGATCAAGCGCAACAGAGATTGCGAAATAAATAGATAACAGTGACACAAACATGAAGTTTTAAATAACAGTATTACACAATTTTTTTTAGTTGTCGGCAATCGATTGGCTGCCTCTTCAGGATTATGAAAAAAATTATATATAAAAATTTGTATACAGTGTGTACGAGTTTAGCTTACAATATCTTTATCAATTTTAATTTTTAATGTTCGTATGAATGTCATCTAGTTACCTTTCTAAGCCAAATATCTTAGAAACTGTATTTTTGTATAGCCAAATTAGAAATATTTTGCCCATTTTATGTGTAATTAAAGTGTAACTTAATTTTTTACAATATAACACAACAGTAACAATGGTTTTTATTAAGTAAAATTAATATCATTACTGCCTATCTATAAAAAAAAATCTAACTATTGAAAAGTGCAAATCTGTTCTATTTATTCAAACATACAATATACGATTCCTTTGAATTTGTTTCCTTCCAGTTTGGAACAATCTGTTAGTCTTAATGTGATTTCCTCTTTTCTTTATTAATTTTTTGGTGTGATTTTTAATTCTTCACAATTTTGGTGTGAAATTCCGAGAAATGTTTACTTAAATTTTCTGTTGAGAGTACATACGTATATTCTACAATTCATCTACAGTCGTTATTTTTGCAGACTGGAAAAAAGTTAAATAAAATGAACATCGTGAAGTATCAAAATAAACAAACTGCTTTTCAATTAAATACCTCTTCTATTTTTTAAGTTTTAGGTATGATATAAGGTTTGTTATAGATATCACTCTAATTTTCAAGTATTCTATCCAGATAATAATTAAACAAAAAGTTTCATTAAAAAAAAAACAAAAGTGCGTTTATTACATCTTTGGAATAATGCATTATTTTACCTGACAAAATTATGACGTTAATATACTATAAAAGTGTATTTATTCGATATAATTTGTATTCCTTTACCTCGATCCATTAGAATAATTGCCAGAAGCAACGTGTCAAATCGATGTAAAAGCTTCACATTTACAATGAAAATTATCAAGTGTTTTAATATTCAAGTTATGAACAACTTTTTAGGGTCGTATGACACACTATTCTTAAATGGAAAATATAAATGACTATGTTAATAATGTTTTATCATAGAATCAGTTCAGATTCTATAATATTAAAAACAAGACTTATTCTGTAGATATAGAAATAAACTAGGTACATTACAGCTAGTACCCCGAAAATTTCTCAGGGAATGCAATACTTGAATATCAGTAAAGTACATTGATGAATCCAAAAGTGATAATGAAAGTGAAACAGGAGTACATATACTCAAGAGATTTGTTGTTTCTAAGAAGCAACAAAACTGTATTCCAAGTACATGTCATTGAACAATATCTACGGGAGAACTTAAAATTAGATATAAAAGCAAAATGATCGTACCCCCATAGTCAAGCAACACTTTATGAGATCACTTCAAAACTGGTTTGGATCTTATTGTTACTTTGGTCACCCATAATGAGATAATACTTCAGGGTTCTAGAGCATTAGATTGGGCACTGAAGAAGTAGATATCCTAGCAAGAAAGGGTCTAGAGGAACACTTACAGTCCCTGAATCTGGTGCGTTATGGGTGGATGGAATTGCAACAAAAAATGTACTAAAGCTACATATCGTTGCAAAAACACAACAAAACAATGGTCAAGTAGGTACGAGTCTGCCAACTGGTCACTATAATCTGATGAACCACATGTTGACTGTATAAAGGGGAGGATGAATCCACTTATCTAAATACGTAACTCTAGCAGCTGGAGACTGATGTTACTTAGCATCTCCCTTTAAAGTTAAAATAACTTCGGAACTTTGAGTGCTAAGTGGTATCAGATGCAACATATCCCGTGCTAAAATTTGAAAGTTGAACTAGAAGTGAGGAACTAAGATTATATAGGGTGTTCCTAAATAAGTGTCGCAACGGAAAACTGTAAATCCCTCTTGAAAAAAGAAACATTATTTTCCTCTTCCATTTTTCTCTCCGGGCTTCGTTTTCGAGATACGCAGTGTCAAAACCTTCATTGTTTTTTAATTTTTTGCCAATATCTTAGCAACCGTTTGAACTACAGGACTCAGTTTTTGTATACGCGTTACCACTATTAATATCTACCTTTTCGCACCCTTCTCGAATTCATTGAACGTGCCAATGGTGGAGATTTTAAGGTATTGTAAGGGTTTTCCCCCCTATCTTTTACGCCACTGGAAAAATTGACATTTGACAGCAAATTCTGAAGCGCCAATGAATTTTACACAAAAAGAGTTCTCTTGGTTCATTACTCTAATGTCAACCGTGTTCAAGAAAAATGACTTTTTATGAACAAAAACAAACATTTTCCTAACGTTTCGAAAATCTTTTGTAATTCAAAAGATAGGTAGTAATAATTAACAATTTTAACGAAATTTAACAACATTTGCACCAAGTAGTTATTAATAGTGGTAATGTGTGTACAAAAGCTCAGTCCTGTAGTTCAAACGGTTCCTAAGATATTGGCAAAAATCTGAGAAAAGTTTTGACACCGTGTATCTCGAAAAGGAAAGCCCTGAGAGAAAAGTGGAAGAGAAAATAAATGTCTCTCTTTTCAAGAGGAATTTATAGTTTTCCGTTACGACACTTATTTAGGAACACCCTGTATTAGCCCCATCTTCCCCAGTTTTGAGGTTATAACAACATAGGAACTGCTAGGTATAAAATGAGAGTGCTAGACAGTGCTAGTAGTAGTATTCTTGGAAACAGTAGACATTTTTATATATGTATTTATTTATTTTCCAAGGAAACATATTACCTAATTACATAAATCTATGAGTTTTAGCAACAAGTTATACTGAAAAATCATCGAAATATTGAACTTTTTATTTAACACACGCTAAAAGTGCTACAAAATATTCTAAGTGCAATTATCGAAACATGGACCATTACACTTTATTACTATTGCTATTATTAGACTTTATAGAATTGAACTGAATTATAACAATCATGTAAGTCGTGATAGTGGAAAATATTGAAAGCAGAAGCGATCTGTTAATTTCGAAAAATTCAGCGGCTGTAAACTTGGTCTGCTTTTGAAAAGTGGTTTGCAGTTTCTCCAGTTCTTCCATTTCTTTGGACTTTAAGGAAAAGATAGCTTTGAGTTCACAGCAATTTCTGAATATTTCATGTGATGCTTTAAGAGCATTGTCACACCCACAAATGGTAATCAGGATCACACCCTGAAAATTAAAATACAACCATTATAATATAAAATTGTCTTTTTAAAACGTAGTTGTACTTACTGCGTCTATAGCCACGTAAAAAAGGAATATCAAATCTATGCATCCAAACTCATCGAAAGGAATTGTGGAAAGTAACGACAAACACCCCAGGATCTGCATAAACGAATGTGTTAAAATAAACAGCACTGACCACCCAAAAAACGAATTGAATGTCCCCACGATACTGTCTAGTTCTAAGTTCAGTACTCTGACTTTTCCAATAATTCTCACAAAATCTTTCTTAGTAATGCTAGTAGAATTGACAGTAAGAAGTAAATTATTTAAACCCCTGTATTTCTCTTTTATGGAAAGAGCAACATGATATATCACAATCATCGACGCGAATTTCATATATTGGTGAACCATGTGACTGATGTAGTGGATGAACCTGCTTCTATCCACAGAACGAAGAGCGCACAAGCTCAAGAAAATATAATATATGCACCCGATGACGACTAACACCAGTGGATTTTTCTTTAGGTTCTTGCTGCGAGTGCCTCTGGTGTTTAAATTAGATGGTCGCTCTAACCGAGACAGCTGAGTTATCAGCTTGTGCCAGTTCTTCATGTTCCAAAATGACGAACTTAATACATTTACCACACATAAAATTACTCCCGTAATCTCCATGAGAGAGATGATGGTTTTCATGATTATCGGAATAGTCTTATCCTCAATACGATAGCAGAGTGATATCATCGACAGAGAAGTCATAGTGAATGCGAAGTACAAGGCGTAACATCTATACAGCTTCTGGTAAGACAGATTACGATTTTCGTAGTTGTAACTGGGAACAACACCAAATAGTGTTGCCAATTTGGATGTGGTTCGAAGGAAAAGTATATCGGT